AGACCAACAATTTATTTAACTTTTGTACACATTGAAAAGTATGAACTACAGCTCATTTTCTTTAGGTATGCATCTATTTAAAAATGTCTGCTGAAAAATATTTTTCCCAGGGGAATGAATTCTTTTTGTAAAACTTTATAGAAAATTGACAGTATTTAGTGAGTCTGTACCCATCTTCTCTTTCCAGTTCACTGACTTATGTTTGTGTCCTTTTGCTAACACAACACAAACTTAACTTACATCACTTCATATACTTTTAAAATATTATTCTTTTACTTTAGAGATTATAATTACAATTTCCCTTTTTTTAGCCCTCTACATCCTCCCACACTACCCACACTTGCTCTTTTTCAAATTCATGAGCCTTTTAAAATTAGTTATTGTTATGTGCATATATGTGTGAAAATTCCTAAATATAACCTGCTCAATATGCGTATTTTGCTTGTATGTATATTTTAACAGCTGACCTTTCAGTTACATTTCCATTTTCTCCCTTTTTCATAATGAATTACACTTTCTTTTATTTATATTACTATTTAATTTTTTTTAATTTTATTTAATTTTTTATAACAGTCCAATTAAATGAAAAAACAGAGTACAAGCTGATCCTATATTTAATTTTACAAAATACACTATTACTAAAATTTTTATTCAAATTTTATTGCTTCTCTAAATTAATTTTGGAAGGATTAACATTACAACCTTCCAAACCTTACAATTTATAAGTAGAGCAGAGTTTTAGCTTGTTTGGGGATTTCTTTAATAGCTACTTCTTTACTAAATATCTCTGTAATTTTGACATATAAACAACACATACTTTGGACAGATCAGGGAATTTGCTGTGAACTACTTTCCCTTTATTTAAGCAAGTATCCTAATGCCATGTTAGATGGCTTTCACTGAAAGTTTTGTAAAGTTCAGATAAAATTGAGATTATCTAGGGGATAATATATACACACCTTTAACCACACCTCTTTATAATCAGTCCCAATATCTGAATCTCCCTGGTCAATTGTTCATTAGTTAATTGGTTGTCAAGGATTCTGTGGTGGTTAGGATGAGCAGTATTCCCATTCTATTCATGTATTTGAACACTTTATCTTGAATGGTGGCACAGTTAAAGAAGGTTATTGGGCATTCAGGGGATGGCTTTGAAGGTTTATAGCCTAGCCCCACACTTCTTATACACTCTTTCTCCTCCCACCTCTGTTCCTGTCTCTATCTCCATCTCCTCCCTTTTCCCCCTCCCCCCTCTACCTCTCCTTTTTGTATTGATGAATGTCATCAGCCAGCTTCCTGCTTCAGCCGCCTGTGGCCACCCCCCATTATGGACTCTATCCTCTGGAACCTTAATCCAATATAAACTCATTTTTTACTAAGTTGCTTTTCTCATGGTTTTTATTGAACAACAGAAAATTAACTAATACAGATATTATGGCTTCCATAATCAACTTTACCATCTTTAGGCCTTATGCTAATTTTGTCTTGATCAACTGAAAAGTCTCCTCTTCTATCCCCTCCCCCTTTCCTTCTTCAATGTCTTATCTCCCTCTTCTTCTCCCTTCTTGTATGTGGGTTGGAGGCAGGGGATAGCTGTAAGACTAAGAGAAACAGAAGTTTTCAAGGGCTTCTATCTAAACACTTGTCTTTTGTACTCTTTATTCATAACTTTTGGCCCTCACTACATGGCTAAATGTGACCTTAAGTTCTTTATTTTTCATGGAGATATTTTACCTGTGTTCCCACCAATACTCCCTTGGAGAATCTAGACAAAAACTACCAACTCCTTCCATTACCACTATGGTGATATAATGCTTATGATCTAATAAAGCTACTGGATATCATTTTGCAAAGCCAGACACAGAGTTGGGTCAGCCCCAAATAACACACAGAGATGCTGTATTAGATATAAAGCTGTTGGCCTGTTACTAGTGTTTCTTATTGTGTAGCTCTGTCTTAAATATTAACTCATTTCTATTAATATAAGTGTTTCCATGTGGTCTTATCTTACTGGACAGAGGATCTCTGAGTTCAAGATCACCCTAGGCTACCAGACAGTGAACCAAAGCTCATGCCTTTAATCCCGGGATTTGAGATATAGAAGCAGTCAGTCTCAGGATTATTCCCTAGTCATGTTGAGGAGAGCATAGCAGTATGAGTGAATCTGAGGAATAGTGAAGTTGGGAAGAGTTTGAGGATCACCTATTTGGTCTAAGCTTTGGTAGAGGTAAGAACTAGTGGCTAGCTGCTTTTCTTCTCTGATCATCAGCTTGAAGCTTGAACACTAACATCTGTCTCTGGGTCTTTAATTTATTGTGCTACATACCACAGATCCTCAGAAATCAAAGCTTTCCTCTCATCTTCTCTTTTATTAGTGGTAAATTGAATCCTCAGCCACCCAATTATGCAAGTCAGATATCAGAGCATATTTCTTCAAGTGTGTTCCTCATAGAGTCCACATAAATACAGCACATTGTACCCCATTGATTATTCTTTTTCCACATCTCACAAAGCCTCCTACTCTGCTACACACTCTCTAACAACATTTAGTCCACTTATTTATAATTGTCAGAATTTACTGCAGGTTTGTCCCTCTGAGTTCTGTTCATCCACATGCAGAGAAACAACTTGTACTTCAAAGAGCAAATGCTGTGGTATTCTACACAATTAAGCATCTTACACATACACATGACCCAGAATATCAACACTTTTAGTGAAGACCCAAATGCTAATGAAAAAAAATGTGTATCCGGGCTCAATCATATATTGTCCAAGATGTCTGTCTCATTGACAACAGAGGCATTTTCTCTCCCTTTGTACTTCTGTGCATTTTTACTATAATATTTTTATTAATTCCTTGTGAATTTCAAACATACATACAACATATTTTAATTACTTTCACACCCCATTTTTCTCTCACTTCTCTCAGATCCACTCCCCACTCCTACTCCACTCCCAACTCCTCCTCACCAATCACGTCCAATTTGTCCTCTCCGTATATACATACATTCACTGCTGTGGAGCCATCCACTTGAGTATGATGGACTCACCAGAGAGTAAACAAAGAAAAGCAAATACTCTTCAATTTACATACATATATACATACTTATCTACATACAGAATTGCATTTTGAAGAATGACCACCAGAGGGCAGGCAAAACCAACTTATAAAGTTCAAGTGTCTTTCACCATACAACTGTACTTATTATTTGTCCTCAATTGTATTTTTTAAATATAGACAATAATTAAACAATATTTCCATAGTTTAAGTGAAGTGCTTCCTATGTAGTTACCAACTTCTGACTTACATTTTTTGAATTTTTTCACTATAATTATTAATAATAAAATATGCTTTCTAAAATGGTGTTTATTAAAATACATGTGTGAAATTAATCTAATAGCATCCAAATATTTCATAATAACCTTAGTCATTATTGCTCCATGTCCTACTGTCAAGTTGCCTATATAGACCACAATATGTTATGTTAATTGAATAGATAATCATGCAGACATAAGTGTACTCATACACATATATGCAAGCATGTATGCCTTTGCATTATGTGTATTATGCACATATATTCGTCTCCACACAATCATGAATACATGGTCAATATTTACAGTGTCTTAACATTAACTAGGTCATCAAAATATGAGGTCTCAATAGTTTCCGATAAAGGATACTTGTATTTTTTTAAGTATTTACATCTGTAACATTTATATTAATTCTCACAAATTATCACATAAGAAAATTGATACAACCATTAAAAAAAGAAGGCATCATTAGATCTAACTAAGCTGTTCTGACAAGATAGAAACTATTTAAAGAAAGAATATTTCTGCAGATACTTGAAATAAAACTGTGTGATATGAGTAATAAAAGCTCATCACATGTATTATTAATACATTAGACATCTGAAAACACATTCTTTTACAAAGCAATACTTCCTATTCATTTGCATAAAAATTTTAGGATCAAACGCTATTTAAAAAGTTGTCTTACAAATCTGAAGTATGGCTTAATTGTGTAGATTTTACAAGATACCAATAAATAAAGTGGTCATGAAATGATATGTAAACTATGTAGATTCTTCCACATTGACCGACTGTCTCCCATGAGCACCTGAAAAAATCAAACTAGTGAGTAGATCTGAGATCTGATATATAATATAGCAATGAACAAAGGTGGAAAAAACAAATTGTTACCTTAACTTGCTGGTCCCAGTGACAATGTAAAATTGTTAAATTCTGCCAAATGATTAATTAAAAAAAATAATAAAGGGCACTATTTTATTTTAAATCCTCGATTTTTTTATTTGTTACATTTTGTCCTTCCTCTTGTTCTCTTTCAAATTCATGGCCTCCTTTATTACTAATTGTTATTACAGTTATGGGCAGGATTCATGGGCATGTCTGGTTTTTTATCTGAGTTAGGGCATCTAGTTAAAACAAATAAGCCAAGGGGGAAATAAAGCATTTATATATTGAGAAGGAAGAAACAAAATTCTCCTTGTTCACAGGTAATACTTTTTATTTATAATTTTAAAACAATCAAAGTAACAAATGTTCCTCAAACTAATACACAATCATAGCAAGGTTGCAAGACAAATAGTTACTATATCCAAACCAATTATTTTCCAGTATACTAGGATCGAACATCAGCGTAAAGAATCTGATTTCCAGGAAATAAACTTGTAAGTCAGCTAACCTACTTTCTCGAAAGTGTTAGACCTGAGCTTTAACCAGGTTGCTAGGAGACAGGGCTCCTAGGATTCCAGAGGATTTATAAGAAGCGAAATGCACAACCAAACCCAGTTGCTCAGTTCGCTGAAAGATTGACCATGCTACCAGCCAGTCAGTGAACGTGCGGACCTCTCCAGCCACTTAGAGCGCCAGAACTCCAGGCAGTCACGCCATTACGCTACCTTGACTTCCTACTCTGGGCGCTCACAAGCCGCTGGCAGGTCCCTCAGGTGCTTCTTCGAGGCCGAGCCAGTGGGTCAAGGGGAGCCATGCAAACCATCCCTATAGTGGGCTTGGGCACCTGGAAGGTGAGGATACTCTTGGGCTGATTAAAGGGGCTCGAAACTGATGAATACTTGCTCAGGAGCGGTCAGGATCGAGGGGTGACTCCCTCCACACACGTGCTCTGATCAAGGTACAGCCTGAAAGAGAGATCGGGCTCCCTCTTGCGTAACAAGTATTAAAAGATCCTAAAATACCTGCCCCCTGTCTGGTTTAGGTTGTCAATCAGTCAAGTTAAACTTTATGTAAAACAATGAGATCTTGAACACGACCTTGTGTGAGCATTCACGGACTGCCAACCTCCAAAAGAAACATTTGTACCATGTAACACTAATCCTCCAAGTGTGCATGACATGACCACCAGGAAGCATACTTTGCATGCTAAAATAACCAAAAGAAATGAAAGAAAATTAAATAATTGCACTAAAGTAATTTTAATTTTTCTGTCTGCTTCTGGCTTCCACTTAATGACAGTAGAGTTATTTGCTAGTGATTTCATTGCTTGCACAGTAGATATTATACGTTGATAAAATACTTTTTAAATAGAATGAACATGAAGTTGGGGTAGGGGAGGAAGGTGTAAAAGGTCTGGGAAGGGGACAATATAATATATATTGTATGAAAAGTTAAATAAAATTCTGTTTAGAAAAAGCTTTAAAAATAAATGTTTCTCTGGAAAGTTTTGTAAAAGGGTGGGATTTTTAGGCAGTTTGATGATTAGAGCGCTCTTTGGTGCTTCATAGTGAAGGTTGACATGGAAGAAATGTCAGTAACTGTTGAGATGAAGGCTTAAGGAACTCAAGAGGTCTCTCCAAAGTTCATCTTTTTTCTTATTCCTCAAATACTTATTTCTGTTGCTCTTACCTCTCACTAGCTCATTTGACAGCATTCTAACATTTATTTTATATAACTGAAAAAAGATATTCAGTTATTAATTTTGAACTGCTCTGAACCTACAATTTGTTATATAAAAACAATTACACGGGTATGTTTTAGTATCATTAATGAATATTTGTAATTAAAATAGGTATAATGTCACCTTCCCAACACAATGAAAGAAATTAATTCTATCTCCTAAGACACAGGGGTGTGAGTTTCCTAAAATGTGGAAAGCACTGGGAAACCACAGCACAAGGTGACATTGATTAGTGGTATTAAATAATGTAGCTATGCTAGTTATGTATGTTCTTTTGAATAATTAAGTACACTATGGATCAAATCAAGGAAGAGCTCAAATTAAAGACTTACTTGGGCTGTTACCTCTCAGATTGAATAGACATGTATACTGTGTACCATTACACTTCACCTGTGTATGTCATACAGTAGCTGATGGGTCCCTTTTGTTTTACCTTCCCAGTTGATTCCACATCCCTGAGTGTTAGATCCCAGATTGCTTCATGCCCCAGCTACTGTTATTCATTCAGTAATCATTCAGGAACAGAACATACAGCTCAGTCCTCTGCAGGAGCTGAAAATGTAGCCTGTGGCCTTTCCCTGGATGAGTAATGTAGCCAGACAACTAATCGCATCCTGACTCAACTGGGATATGGTGGGGAACAACTGTGAAGTCATTCTAGGTTTCTTGATAAATTCTCTTCATTTAACACCTCTCGTTTGGAAGCAAAGGCCTCTCAGATTATGAAAACGATTACAAGTGCGGCATTTAGTGAGATGAAAGAGCCTATTGAGGATACAGTATTTCATGTAGTATAAGCATCAGGGTAATCAGAGCAGCATCGTGCTATTCCTGAAAGGCCTAAGAAATGTTGAGGGAAGAAAGTTAAATTTACTCCTATGAACATAATAGCAAAGTGAGCTTTGGCACATGTACATCAAGAGTATACAGCCTGAGAATAAGGGAAGTCAATGAACAAATCCTGCTATAATAGTGAAAACAGCTTCCATAGATAAAACGCAGTAAAAATGGGCTACTACATAATAAATACCATGGAAAATAATGTCTAAAGATGAGTTTGATAACACAATTCCTGTTAGTCCCCCTACTATAAATAGGAAAATGAAGCCTAGGGCTCATAATATGGCAGGGGATCATTTGATGTTACCTCAGTGCAGTGTTGCTAATCAGCTAAGCACTTTAACACCAGCTGGAATTGCAGTAATTCTAGTGGTGAATGTGAAGTAAGCCTGACTATCTACATCAAGTCCTACTGTGAATATATGATGGGCTCGTACAATAAATCCAAGTAACCTAATATATATTATTCACACTATACGCATATAGCCGAATGGTTCTTTTCTTCCTGAGTAGTAAGTAACAATGTGTGAGATAATTCCAAAACCTGGGAGAATAAGACAATAAACTTCAAGGTGACAAAAGAATCAAAATAGGCATTGGTATAGAATTGTATCTCCCCCTCCAGCAGGGTCAAAGAAGGTTTTATGAAGATTATATCTGTCAATAGTATTGTAATACCTGTGGCTAATACTAGGAGAAACAAAAGTAAAAGTATAGCTGTAATTAGGACTGATCAAATCAATAATGGTTTTTGATATTGTGTTGTGGCGGTGGTTTTATGTTAACAATTGTAATGATAAAAATTAATTGCACCTAGAATGTAGAGTACACCAGCTAAATGGAGAGAAATGATTGTGAGATCTACTGATGCCCCAGCATGAGCTACATTTCCAGCTAGTGGGGGATATATGGTCACCCTATTCCTGTCCCCGCTTCTACCATTGAGGATACTAATAGAAGTAGAAATGATGGGGGTAGGAGTCAGAAACTTATGCTGTTTATTTGGGGGAATGCTATATCAGGGGCTCCAATTATTAGTGGTACTAGTCAGCTTCCAAACCCACCAATTATTATAGGCCTAACTATAAAGAAAATTATAACAAATGCATGGGCTGTTACAATAGCATTGTGGATTATAGTAAGGCTCCAGGTTGACCTAGTTCAGCTTGAATAAGAATGCTTAGGGCTGTCCCCACTATTCCGGCTCAGGCTCCAAATATTAGATAAAGAGTTCCGATATCTTTGTGATTGGTTGAAAAGAGTCATCAGTTAATGAACAAAGGTAAAATGACTGAGTAAAGCATTAGATTGTAAATCTAAGCAGAGGTTATAGGCCTCTTTTGACCAAATCTTAAGGTGATAATCACATCGAATTGCAATTTCAAAAGTGGAGATAACATACTCTACTAATGCTTCTCCCACCCCCTTTCTGACTTCTGACTTTGGCTGATATTAGCAGATGTTGTAATGATTTGGGTGTTTATGTATTGCTTGGTTCACTTTCACAGGTGAAAAGGGAAAAGGGGGGCACTGAGTTGGTTTCCCCTGATGATAGAAGGATCCTTGTGTTTGCTTGTATTTCAGGCCAGTCCAGGAGAAGTAGCCGATGCTGTGAAGGTGGCTATCAGCTTGGGGTACCGGCACTTTGACTGTGCTTACTTATACCACAATGAGAGTGAGGTCGGAATGGGAATCAATTCTATGATCAAGGAGGGTGTGGTGAAAAGAGAGGATCTGTTTGTTGTCAGCAAGGTAAGGTTTCTCAGTTGCAAGGACTGTAGGTTCTCAGCTCCTGTAGTGACAGATACTGGTACAACTGGAATCATCTAGCCTAGAGGATTTTTCGGTTTCCTTGTGGAAATTGGTGTCTTCAGTTTGCAGTTGATTCAGAACTAACAAGGTCTTCTACAGTTTCATGAGCATGTTAAGTTGCATTATGTATATGTTTGCTTAGACTTTTTTTTAACACTGGACCATTCAGATGGACATGTAGAGACACCACCATTCATGCATGCCACACTTGATTGAGTGATGACACCTTTGTACCTGAAGTTTACAGGATACAGTTCTTCTAGTCCTGGTAAACTGTTGTCTGTACAGACATGCCTAACTTAGAATCCCCTGCTAGTGACAGTTAAAGAGCACATTGAAAAATCTCCACTAAGAAATTGATGCTATTATGACTGTAAACCACAAATGAACATAAGGTGTGTATGAACACAGCAGATGTAGGAGTCTGTATGAAGGAGTGGGAGGCTGGAGAAATGGGCAGGGTTCAAGTCATCCAAGTCTTGGCTTGAAGAAGCTTGCACTTTTCCTTGAAATGTAGAGGTTTGAGGACAATCCCTGTTTCTAAGTAAGGTAGTTTCTTTTACCTGTCAATGAGAAGTGAGCATAGGACATAATGGTAGCTGGCAGGATGACTGTGCATTTTAAAAAGGGCATTTTAGCAGTGCAGGTGGGAGATGATGAATGTCTGTCTGTTCTGTCATAGTGAGAAAGAGGAAGTGGATGTGAAACAGAGTAAGAAAATAGGCCCCATGGACAGCAAAAGGTTAAACTAGCACTCAAAGGCTGCTTTTTTTTTTTTTTTTTTTTTTTTTTTTTTTTGTCTTCTTTTCTTGCCAGGCATGGTGTCTCACAGCATTAATCCCAACAAAGGCTGGCAGATCTCTGTGAGTTTAAGGCCAGCCTGATCTATATAGTGAGTTCCATAAGAGCCAGGGCTACAAAGTGAGATGCTATCTCAGGATACAGGGGGAGAATCTGTTTTTTAAAACAAACACACAAAAAAAATTGTTTTAAATCTTGATCCTAGTTGTTACTGTCAGACAACAGTCATATGTTTAAGTTCCAACTGTCATTCAGGAGCTCTGCTCAGGTTGCCAGATGACACATGGGCAGGGTCCCATTGTCAGCATTTGTAGATCTGAATTTGTTGAATTCATGAAGAGTTTAAGGTCTCATATCCATAATTACACATTTCAATGGTGTTTCTACTGTGGCTCACCTCTCTGCTTTACTTAACATGGTTGATTTTTTACTGCTCATCTCTATTGTGTAATTTTGAGTAGAAAGAGGGATGGAGAGAAGCTGGAGTATGCTCACAGAGATTTTCTTCCAGTTCTTATGCAGAGGGCTGGGGAACTAGGGATTTTGAAGTCTCCATAATCAAACTGCATATTGCTTTCAAGTTTGTGGTAGTCAGCAGTGAAAATGTGCTGATCATTGTGGAAATTTGGAAGAAACACTGGAATATAATTATAGTAGAGGACATTACTTATTTATTCACAATGGGAATTATTAATAATGTTATGTATTTACCTCTAATTTGGGTTTCTCCCCTTCCTTTTCTCCCCCTCTCCACTGTCATGTATGTGTGTGTATGTCAGTGTGTGTATGTGTAGTATGAGTGGGATGTATGTTCATGTGTATATGACTAAATTCATGTGAGCAAGCTAGAGGAGGATGTTACTGTCATGCTCTAACATTCTACTCAACTCTTTTGGGACAAGGTCTTGTTAATCCCATAGATGTGAGGAGAAAGACCATTGATCCAAATTGTGGCCAAATTAACTTTAAAAAGCCTGTTTAAAAATTTGTGTACATGGACTGTTCCTAAAGGTAGGTTCAACAGATCAGCACTGGATATAAGATAAGGGTTTTTATGTTGCAGGACTAGGAGTTTTCCAAATATGTGATTGGGCAGGCAAATAGGCAAGGTTGCATGAATACAACATAAGCACATAACAAGTTGGTCATAACTTTCTGAAACAAAGATGTGGTTGCAAGGGGATCATAACAACCTCCTGAAACAATGTACAGTTGCCGTTTCCTGGAAAAGGCAATACAGAATCATTTGTAGTTAAGTTTACAGGTAGGGCACAGACCAATTCTTGAGAAACAGATTTAATCATAAACAGGAATGAACCTAGTTGTCTTTACTATAAGATGGCTTTCAAACCCAAGATGAAAGCAGGCTGATTTATTAGTTTCTCACTGAACCTTTAGGTAGGCTAGCAGCCTCCCTTTAAATGCCTTCCTGTGCTGCCCTGAACCTCCCTTGAGTAAAGAAGGCTTCCTGCTGTGGAAAATGACAATTCTTTTCTAAAGATAATGTCACTATTTTACTTCAGAACATGCTGTGTTGTGTTGTCAAGTGCAAGTTTGTGGGAGGGACCAATGAGTGCATGATCTGTTCATTTTAGATTATGACCTTGTAATAATAGTGTCCCTTTCCTTTTGTAGCTGTGGTGTACCTACCACAAGAAGTCTTTGGTGAGAACAGCATGCACCAATACCCTAAAGGCCTTAAACTTGAAATACTTGGATCTCTACCTCATACATTGGCCCATGGGTTTCAAGGTACCAATCACTTTGTGGCTAGATTATTAGGAGATGCTATTCTGTAAATATGTTTCTCCTATTGGTTAATGAAGAAAGCACTGTTGGCCAATAGGAAAGCAAGATAGGAGACTAGGAGGAGAGAGGAAGGAGTAGGGAGGAGATTCAAGATGGAGGACAGAGAGAGCAGAACGCCGGCACCTCTCTCTGGTAAGATGATACCACGTGGAAATACTTATTAGTAGAAATGGGTTAATATTTAAGACAGAGCTAGCTGATAAGAAACACTAGTAACAGGCCAACAGCTTTATACCTAATACAGCATCTCTGTGTGTTATTTGGGGCTGGCCTGGTGGTGGGACCAGACCAGCAGGATATAACTACTCATAACACTAGATTTCTGCAAAGACCCAACCATTTTCTGTGTTTTATCATAGAAAATTTATCTAAAATAGAAATTAAGCTGGAATTTCCAACTTTTAAAATCATTAGAAATTACTAAATATGCTTTTACTGATCTTGTCCTGTGAACCAATTAGGAAGGTATGTAAGCCCTTGTTGCTGTTCAGCAGAGTGACTAGGTTTTTACCTCTTAGCATGTCTTCTTCTTCCTTCCATACCCTGCCTTTGTATCCTCACTTGGCTGTCACTCATCTTGATGGGAAGTCTTAGAAGAGTGAAAAGCCTAATAATATTGTTGGGAGAAAGTTGACTATATTAAGACATGAAGGAAGGCCTATTGTTCTCTGATTTAAAAAATCTGAATCAGACTGGGATTTAAACTTTGTGAGAGTTTCATGATGGGATTTTACTGCCTTCACCCTCCCTTCCCACTTTGTCTTAAAGTGGCAACTGAGCCTAGAGAAGAGAAGTGGCCCAGCCAGGCCAGTAGAACCTAGTGACAGGGTTAAGGCTAAGGTGAAAGTCCATTGGTGCAGACTGCACATCTGTGTTCTCTCCCTACGTACTCTCCTGATGGAGGATGCCACAAGCCCCAGTAACCTTCTTGTGTTCTGGTTCTCACAGCCCGGAGAAAAAGATGTGCCTTTGGATTGCAATGGCATGGTCATACCCAGTAACACCAACTTTCTGGACACATGGGAGGTAAGCTGAAGCACACCATCTGGTTACTTAACCCCCACTTACAGATACCCAAATGAAAGTTTCACAAGATCTCTTGAGTATCTATATTAAATTTTACCAGGTAATACTGATTGTCAACTTGACATCATCTAGAATTAGCTAAGTCAAGAATCAGACCCCAGGGCAAGTCTTTGAAGAGGTTCCTAGACTGCATTAAATGAGGCTAAAAGTCATCACCCCCCCAGTGTAAGCAACATCATTCCATGAACTAGGGTCCTGTACTGAATGAAAGAGAGAGGTAGTCTGGCACATGTGTGTATCCCTGTCCATTTCTGAACAGAGGATCTAATGTGACCAAGGCCCTGGGACTCCTGTTACCAAGACTCCTTCACAATGATGGATAAACAGCCATCCCCTTAAAGTGTAAGCCAAAAAGAAGCCCTTCCTTATGTTGCCTTTTTGATAATCTTGTCAATACAAAAGGAGGAGTAATTAATACACACCATGAATTATGGATGAATACCTGGAAAACTGAAGATACACCAAATGAATTTCTCACTAATTTAATTTAGTTTAGTATAGAGAACAATACAGACCTTTCATTTTCCCTCGACTGTTTCTTTTTTAAATTAAAAAAAAAATATGTACCTCCCCCAGGAAACACAGAGTAATACAAAAGGAAATTTAAAAACCCATGTTTTCAACAGCTTCTGGCAATCACTGGCATTGTAGTCCTCTCCTAGTTCCTATAGGTTATCTTTTAATTGTTACAGAGACATAAGGTTGAGAACATTCTTAAGCTCACATTGGGAAGGTAGGCAAAGGAAAAAGTTAGAGGGATGATGACAAAGTGCCACGTCAATGTCCAGGGTCCAGATGAAATACACTGAGTGCTGGAATTGAAGTGAAGAGCAATGACTTCATGAGAGTCTCATGAAGTCAGTGACGTTGACAAAGTAGGAAGAAAGAATAGCAGGGTTCTCTGACTGTGAGTTCTAGTATTATTGCTGCCCGGCTTGAGGAACAGGGCATCGCCCATTCAAGTATAATCGGCAAAGCTTAGGGAAGAGTTTCAACTCAAAAGATGCAATAAAGAGCCATACCTGTGAGAATAATGGGTGAAAATGTTGAGGTACTTCAGGCCCTTAGAAAGAGAGAAAGAGAAGTCCCTGGGCTGGGCACTGACAGCCTCTCTTCCCGTAAAACTGCAAAACTTGGAAACCAACCAGAAAGAAACTGAGCAAAATGCTTCAGAGGGTCTGAGCTCTTTCTTTCACCTTGGGTTTCTGTTCATCAAAGATCTGGGATTTAAACATCTGTGGCGTTTATTGGGTGATTATTGCAGAATCTTAATTCATCTGTTTCTATCTTCATAATCACTGGAGACTTATGCCTGACTTGACACTGCCATGATGCTCATGGATTTTCTGAAAGCCTAGATGGAGGGCTCACTTATCAGATGTCAGCACAGTATCAGATAGCTTTGCCTTCAAATTACTTAAAACATGCAATTGTTAGAGTGAGAATCAAGAATGCTGGCCCATCACTAAGCTCATGATGAATATCTGGGTGGGAAGAAGAGTGAAGAGATAGAGTCAGCAGCGGAGAGGGCTGCTCTAGCTCACCTTGGAACATAGGAGTAGGAGGAATAGCACATATACACTGAATGCTTGCTTGATGTCCAGCTGTGGCCAAACGCTTCATGTGTATCATTCCATGTTACTTTGAAACAGACCTGGTGTAGATAATACTGTCCACTGGTTTAAGCTTCAAGTAAAATGCTTTTAAAGCATTGGGACACTATCGCAAGTCACTAAAGGGCATGGCTTATGTGGGTGCTAGACAACATGTATAACTTGTGTACTCAGCACATTTCTTTCTCTTTCAGGCCATGGAGGACCTGGTGATTGAAGGACTGGTGAAGCACATTGGGGTGTCAAACTTTAACCATGAACAGCTTGAGAAACTTTTAAATAAGCCTGGTTTGAGGTTCTGTCCCATCACTAACCAGGTGAGTCAGTGGATGGTCAGAAGTTTCACATGTTTCCTCCATGGGGCAGTGGATGAGACAGGTAGCATGTTTGCCTCTGCTAGCTGTCAGAATTGTAATGAGGTAACAGGCAGAAGTGACTGGTTGAATGGCCAAGTGTCTGTATTTCCAGCATATATGGTTAAGAGATGAGAGTAGGTAGAGTGTGACATGGATCTGGATTCTTGGCAGGTGTTTGGGAGGCAGATGGACAAGTGTGTTCAGAATAGCAGAGTTCTCTTCAGACCCTTCACCCTCATTAAAGGAGGGCTGTTCCTTTTCACTCACCCAGCCCATGCACAAGAGCAGTGGGTAATGCTGTCTCCATCCAGGCTGGCAGAATTTAGAAACAAGTCTCTTCCCACCACCATGCCTGTTCTTCACATTCTGCTATGGAATATATAGTACTCCAGATCTCACATTTTATATGGTTACTGGCTAATAATACCAGGACTTAATGACTATAGAAATTTTTATCTGAAAATTTAGCTGTAGGTTGTAGGTTTAGCTGAAAACCTGGGCATTCAAAGTTTTTCACTAAATATTTGTCGAAAAGATGCAATTAGAGAATTACATGTGACAAGTACATGCTGCATGTGACATCAACAAACCTTCAAAGGAGATGTCCCTGGAAGTTGATCTTGCTGGATGTGGCATGGTCCTGAAAGCAAAGGCAATGCTCATAATTTTTTTCAATTCCCTGTAAATGAGCATTACTTATAAGTCTGTTTACAACCTGGAATTGTGCATGAGAAAACAGAGGAGGCAGTAGTAACTGCATTCAAGGCTGTGCTTAAAACTCAAATCCTGGTGACAAAAGATAACCAGTAAGCAAATTAAAGGTGCAAATGTTGTGTAATGTGAGTGCTGTAGGAAACTTGAAGGGCAGGAAAAAAGCCCCTTGAGCAGGTGATGTAGGAATGTCTGCATGACATAGGGGTCTGAGAGTCTGCCAGCTTGGAGCTACTTATAGCATCTGACATCTTGGAGGTGTCAGAGACTCAGCATACTCATTGGTAGGTAGAGACGCTGCCAATTTAAGAGAGGCCATGTACCTAGTTAGTGATGGTGGGGACATCAAATGTGTCTTCTCTTCAGTGCTTTACTAGTATGCTGCTTGTCTGAATTCCTTTGGTGCACTGTGATTCTGTTTGTAGATTGAATGCCACCCATATCTTAACCAGAAGAATCTGATTGAGTTTTGCCATAAAAGAAATGTGTCTGTGACAGCTTACCGTCCTCTGGGAGGCTCAATGTAAGGATATGTTAAACACTGTGCTAATCTGAATGCTAACTGATGCTAGTATCCCCCCACCCCTTCTGTTTCATTTGAGAGGTGGGGGAACTTCACTGAGAAGGTATGGAGGGGACTGCCCACACCATTCAGGCCCCAGGGAGAAGAAGTTAGAGAGCTACTTCTCAAACTGGGGAGTTGCCTTGATTGGGCTTCCCTGTGAGGGTAACCAGCTTTGAAGGGACAGTCTCAGCATGGAGTGAACCCTCTGCTGATCTGTCTGGTAGTTCCTCAGTCAGCTACTAACCTGGCTTTCAGAGCATGTCACAAAACTCAGGTTCTTTAGATAGTGCCAAAGTGACATCTTCTTTCCCATAACCATAACCTGGAATTTGTACCTTTCCCTTATTGAGCAACCTAAGCAAGAACTGTGGAATCATCCCTTTCCCGTACCCCCACTCCAATACATCACAAAGATCAATTGCTTTTTGTAATAGGAGACCCTGAAGTATGTCTTTTGATCTCTGCTGTCATCACCTACACCTTAACCCACTTGCGTATCCATCAGTTCCTATAGGCTACTCACCTGCTAGCTGAAGTGATCTCATTGCACACAATCATGTCTGCTTCCTATTTTGACTTTGTTATGCCTGAGTGTGTGTGTGGAGGAGCTGACCTAGCTCCATCCTTCTCTGGTCACTCTTCCCCATTCCTGCAAATCTTCAATATTTCAGTCACATAAAACTGCTGGTAGTTGCTTAGAGAGAACATTCTTTCTGGTCTTTGCAATTTTGCATATGCTATTCCTTTTACTAAAATCTGTATTTTTCTTGAGTTTGTTTGCTCTTGTTTCTGATGTCATGATGAGCTCAGCAGCTCTGTGCCCTCCAGGAAGTTTCCATGCGCTCCTTTTTGTATTTGGTGCATTCGCCTTGTCATAGCATCTCATCTTTATTCCCTTTAACTATCTAATGCACTAGGTTTCTTTTCACCGATTGTCACTGATGTCCCCAGACTACAGGGGCCATCTCTTCTTAGTCTATTCCTACCCTCAGATTAGATGCCAGGAAACTATTAGGAAGCTGGGAAAGGCTGGGCTTATCTCATTTTTCTTACCTGTGTTTTTCATGTGAATTAGGGTGTACATATTTGGGCTTAATAGCAGCTGCGGAGTCCCTAGAATCTGGGGCATATTTTACAGCTGAGCCTTGGTGTAGAAGGGTCTCTGTTAGAAAAACTGAGGGACTTATAGCAAGATAACACCTGCTCACTATGGTTCTTTCTGAACAATTTGAGAACTGTGACTATCTTCATTCTTGAAACCGGTTAACTTCTTAATAAAAGATGAGTTGCTGGGCTTGATTCCACAGCATTGTGTAAACCAGATGTGGTAGTATACACCTAAAACCCCCGCACTTTGGGAAGGAGGCAGGAAGATCAAAAGTCCAAAGTCATTCTCAGGCTACATATCAAACTCAAAGCCAGACATGAGACCCTGTCTAAAATAAAATAAAATGGCTTATTTAGTCACTCGTATCCCTGCCTGGATGAATTTTTGATGTATACAGACAGTCTTAAAAATGTCTTATACAACAAGAAAACCTCACCCAGGTCTGGTGACATCTGCCCAGCAGTCCCAAGAGGCAAGAGGATTGATTTTGAGGCCAACCAGTTCTACTAAATGAGTTACCTTAAACATAAAAGGTAGGAAGCAAGTAAAATAAGTAAATTCTAAATCTTTAATCTTAGAGAAAAGTAAACTGTGTAAGCATATGTGCTTACTCTTCTGCTGACTCAACATGCTTTGCTGTATCTCTCTAGAGATGGGGTTGACTTGTTGGATGACCTTGTCATTAGGAAGATCTCAAAGAAGCATGGGAAGTCTCCTGCTCAGGTACATGGGAAGAAGTGTCATGTGCTGAGCTCACACTTCTCCAACACCTCTCCCCACTGTCCTGAGCCTTGTCAGTTTCTAGAAAGGGGTCACTTCACCCTGAACAATTTGATTCTCCAGAATGTTCCAGTTTGAAGCTGTAAGTTGGTTGCTTCCATGTTCTCATCCAGTCAAGCCATATATCCTTCCTTCCTCGGCTGTCAGCACTCGGTATGCCCTCCAGTGCCATTCCTCTGCCCCACCAGTGGCATAGATAACTGGTGTGAGAGAGAACAGTCATTAAAGTCAGCCTTATCCACATGTCCTGATCATTTGGGGAACCGGGCACATGTTGAGGGATTCTTGTAAAGTGTGAGTGAGTCTTCTAACCATCTCCTTGAGCTGACAGCATTCATTACAGATACATTGACAAAGCAGTTAAGTTTGATTTGTAAAGGCCTTTGAAGTTGCATGACTTTTGTGCTCTTACTGTACAATGAAACTGAACTATCATGATTCCTTTGCCTTGATTCCATTTGTTTGATTTCTATGTGAAACTTTTTTTTCTTCCCTACAGATTTTGATCCGATTTCAGATCCAAAGGAATGTGATAGTGATACCCAAATCTGTAACCCCAAGTCGGATTAGGGAGAATTTCCAGGTGGGCTTTTTCTTGTTTTAGAGTTTTTCAGATCATGATTTTGAAAGTAGAGTGCTGGCTAACTTTCATAACAAACAACCCACAACTCCATGGCTGTCATCCCACAGAGGTGTATTCCTCTATGAACTGTGCTGATAGTCTGCCTTTCACAGAGTGAGTCAGGACAGGCTCTTACTGTGCCCCCCAACCCCCACTGCCAAAGCTGGATATAGTCTCCATTCAACTGGGGAAAGAGGTAAAAGGAGCTCATGGAGACGCATGTGACAGACCACTGTGTGGAATGAGCGCCTCCCTCCTGTCCAGTCATTCTGCCACACTGACCCTCAACAGAAGCTAGATATGCCCAGTGTATGCTCAAGAGGAAGGAATGCAGGGTTGATGAGCATCTATGTAGTATGGGCCATATGGAGTATGTTCACTAGTCTCTTGAAGGCAGCTGTTGTGGGTGGTATGTTCTTTACAAGCCAATGAAAACTGATGTGCTAGCCATCTTAAATTAGCTAGAACATTATAAAATGCTGATTAAGAGATGCCTTTTTGAATATAGCCTTTTAAAACTAACCGAGAATCACAGCAGAAATGGGATCAGATGCAGAGGACAGAGAATAGTGTCATTTTATGAGAGGCTAAAGAGAAAGTGCTAGTCAATTCTTGAAAAGCCAGAAATTGCATACCTGAGATAACTAGAAGAATAATATCAGAAGGATCCTAGACTGTGGGCTTGTCCTCTAAACTGTCCAAAGGCTTTCAATACAATCACCTAGGTTCTCTAAGACAGCTCTGAGTACCCATTTAGTATTTATTGTAGTACTGTTTACTTCTTCCTTTGGTTCCAATGACTCCAGCACTGAGGCTGCCACTCTATTATTCCCATATCTACTGTGTAGCTGTTTTGGCCAAACCTGAGGATAGCTATCTTCCTAGGGTAGAGTCTGGGGTCCAACAGCTACCCTCTTTAGCAGGGCGAAGCCACTGGATGTTCTTCTCCTCCTTCTTGGATATAGACGCATAACTGCACTGAGTAGTGGTCTCTGTGCGACACTGTTATAGGGGAATTTGATCATAGCTGTCAAGTGTGTTAGAGGGGGAAGGCAGGAGAGGTAAGAATATTATTTGAAAATGAAGTTACTTGGGCACTTGCTGGGGGGCCAGCTTTCGCCCCCTGCTGCTGCTGCCACTGCCAAGGGCTACTATAGCTGCTCTCCCAAGATGGCTGATCCTCCAGGCAAGTATTTCAGCTTTGGGAGCCAGGTGTGGTGCCGGACATACCAGGAACAGTGGCTGCAGGGCGAGGTGGTGACCTTCGACTACCAGTCCAAAATGCTGGCTCTAAAATGTCCCCCTTCCAGTGGAAAGCCCAACCACGCAGGCATCTTGCTTATAAACTTACAGTATGTTTCTGAAATGGAAATAATTAATGATGGAACAGAAACCCCTCCTCCACTAGCATCACTTAATGTTATTAAGCTTGCCAGCAAAGCACAAATGTAGAAGGAGGAGTTGAGCCAGGCCTATGCAATCAGCGCTGGCATCTCCCTGGAGGGCCAGCAGCTCTTCCAGACCATTCACAAGACCATTAAGAACTGTAAATGGCAAGAAAAAAACACCGTAGTCATGGAAGAAGTTGTTATTACACCCCCATATCAAATGGAAAATTGTAAAGGCAAAGAGGAAAGTGCACTGAGCCATGTACAAAAAATAGTTGAAAAACATTTTAGAGATGTGGAAAGCTAAAAGATACTGCAGCGTTTACAAGCCCAACAACCACAGAAGGAGGCTGCCCTGTCATCCTGAGTCCATAAACATGGAGGACGACTCTTCCAGCATCCAGCCACAGAGATGGTGTGATGGTGGTGGCTTGATTGGAGGAGGCCAGGGGAGGGAAGGGAGCCTATATTTCCTCCTGGCTCTAAAGAGTCAGTGTTTCAAACAACCTAGATTTGAACAAACACCCAACAAAAAGTACAGGAGGATAATTTAAAAATTGAATCATTACTTGACTAACAGACTGCAGCCACCATGTCCTTTTCACAGCCCCTTCTGGAACAATCATCTTCTTAGTTTGATTTTTGCAAATTCCTTTCCACTCTGCACTTCACCTGTGATTTTCTTTTCCTAGTTTGTTTCTGCCATTCTGTTTTTATACGTGGATATACTTGCCTTCTGAATGATTGAAAGAAACTTTTACATCTTTTCCTCCAAAATAAAAGTAACAAGCTGACTGTGAATCTGAAGTTGAGACCAGAGCAGAAGACAGAAGTCTCATTTTCAATTTTTCAATTTTTTTCTTGCCTTTTTTTTTAATTTTATTTCTTTTTCTTTTCTTTTCTTTTTTTTTTTTTTTTTCTTTTTTCTTTTTGTGCACAGGGCATGGCTTGAATTAGTTTTATTTTTCTTAAATATATATACATATATATATATGGAAATATATATTAAAATGTTCTCTAAGTATTCTGCTTCTTGCAGGTCTCTTTTTACTAGATCATGGCCACTCTTCCCACCCCATCCCTCTGAAAAGAAAAGTATGCTTTCCTGTCTTCCACTCAGAGCCTGATGATTAACTTGACTTAGTTCACACAGCGAGGACCTCCTGCAGCCCTGCAGGACCAGTGTGCAGATGGGATTTGGCATTGAGGGTCCCGACGGCTTTCTGCTCTTTAACTATGTACCTGTCACCTTTGGTCCCAACCTCAGGACTACCCCTGCCTTTGTCTTCATGGCACTTGATGAACTCTTATCACTCTCCACTTGGAAGTCAGCTGCCCCTCCCCCAGTGCCTCTGCAGGAAGACCTGACTTGCAAGGCACATCCATCTCAGCTCTTCTTCCTCTGAGCTGAGTTGCTCTTCTAAGAAACCTGAACTCGGTCTACCCTGACTTATCTTAAGTCTATGTCCAGAGCCTCTAGCCAGGAAAAACCTGAATAACCTGTAGTTTCTCTTCTACCACCTTCCTGCTCTTCAGCCCCCTCCTTCCCCCTGAAATCTTATAAGCTAATGACAGTTTGTATGTGCTCAGCCAATGGGCAGCAAACCTGGAAATAATTTCTGGACATTAGCCCACCAGTTTGCCTGGTTTGACTAACCTGCTGAGAGCAGAAACTGGTACATATTGCCCCTGCACCTCCAGGGTAGTTTTATGGGGTAGAGTGCCACCACCGGAATATCGGGCACTGAATGGGACATGGGTGAGCTTTGGGGGTAGGAGGGAGGCTAATTTTTTTTTTTTTGGCCATGATCTCTTTTCCCTTTTTTTTTTAAATTAAATAAATGGATCAAAATTAAATAATTCAAGCCCTGCCTTCAAAATGGGAAAAAAACTTTTTTTTTAGTATTGTTCAGCAAAAACAATAAACCCAATTTTTTTTAACCATCAAAAAGAAAGAAAGAAATGAAAAACAGAAAAAGAAAATGAAGTTACTCAAAATGTTCTTGGGTTATTTCATGCCAAAGTCAGTACCAACTGACTTCCTAGTTGATTGTGTAGGAGGAACAAGGTTTATCTATCTAGCTATCTATCTATCTATCTATCTATCTATCTATCTATCTATCTATATCTATCTATCTATCTATCTATCTATCTATCTATCTATCTATCTATTTTCTTTGGAGAGGAAGAGGTAGGTCAGTGGAGAAAACATTTCACTTTTGTAAAACTCTTTCTCTATATTTCTCACCCCCATAAAATAAAAACAATATATAACCCATCTTTTTGAGTTTTCCTAAATGTAAGTGAGGCTAAACCTGTGCCCATGAAGTGATAAAAATCAAAGTGCATTTTGGGGGATCAACTGTCTTAGGGGAAGTTCTAGGTGTCTAATGAAGAATTTCCCATCTTGTTGTCCATTGTAGGGAATATGCATGCCAATTAAATGGGCTTGAATCTGAATTCCCTGTGATCATCTGATTTTGTTTCCAGGTATTTGATTTTGAATTAACTGAAAAAGATATGGAGGAACTCCTAAGCCTAAACAAGAACCTCCGGTTGGCTACATTCCCCTTGTAAGTCCTTCTCCTTTACTTCCTTTTAAAAGATAAAGGGAGCTATACACAAGTAGGGTGACTGGCTCTTGAATAGATATTTACTGTTATATTCAAGGTTAATTAAACCTTACTGTAAGTCTTCGTTGTTAAATGTTGGGCCAGTGAACAAAGACAATGACTAATTTATATACTAGATAGTTAGAAAAGCACAACTCTGTCACTTAAGATATTACCTTTAAAAATGGCTGTTTTTATTTCTATTTTTAATTTGTGATTCTATCTTTCAGAACAGAAAACCACAAGGACTATCCTTTCCACATAGAGTACTGAAGGCAGCTTCCCTCACCCTCGTTTGTTCTCAGATCACCAAGGTTGGCAGCATGGTTCCACCTCTGCAAAGGCTGTGTGGTCTCAGCCAGGAATGACAACAGAGTTAGAAGCAAGGGAAATTCTGCTTAGAGCAGAGGACCTGTTCTTGGAGAAACATAAAGACACAATAATGAGAAAGAGAAGTTCCATGAGGGCCATGGCTGTTGCTGAGTTGTTAGACTGTTGCTAAACAATGTAATTTATGTAGATTAGTCCTTGTGGCTTCTATCCTCTGAAATGAGATACTGATGGCTCATGAATTAAAATTACCTTCACCTTTGAAGAAAATCCGCTTGATAGAAGTGTTTGAATAATCTATAACATTTGAGAAGTTAATATAATTAATATCCATAAGTTGGCTTCAAAAGCCATCGGCCTGAGGCCAGTTGTGTTTTTCCTTTATACTACTCTCTGCACTCCAGAGCTTTCTAGATTATTTTCAAGCAAAATCTACCCTCACAAAGCAAAATGACCATGATACTTTGCATATCTCAGATTACTTATACTTAAACCAGTGCCAATTTGGAATTTTTTTTCCTTAATCATGATTCATATCAAAATGATCCTTTGACTTGTGGGCTGCATGGATTTGATGGGAGCATTTCCAATGCAATGGGACTGAGGATGGAATTCCCCATTAGCAGTGGTCCTGAACATGTGCTTGTCTGCAGAATGAGAATATAAGACCTCACCACTCTCCCCTGGCCAGTTGTTGCTTGGACTAAAGAAGACACTGAGCCCCAGTCCCTCATTAAAAGACAGACAAACCCTTGAGAACATGTTTCAAACTAACTGGAACTTAAGCATACATAAATATAAAATTCAGGCCATGGCCATGTCATCCCCAAGAACATCTACCCAGCCCCTCTTTGTTAAGGAAGCATTTAGAGTCCCCTCTTAGGTCAAAGATTTGGCATCCAGCTGTCTGCCAATACCCAGAGAACTGAAATTAATGAAAACAGAGAAACAGTGTTTTTTCTACTTGAGTTTCAAGAAGTAAATTTGAAAGTTTCTTCTGTTCCTTTTGTGGGAGCAAAAGTGGAGGTTATTTTGCTTTCAGGAGGAGGCTTCATTCTTGAAAGTGTCCCAAACTGTTCACTTCAGCCTGTCCTCATGAATCCTCAAGACAGGCACTGTTTTCAAATAAAGGCAGCATTTTTCATTTTAAGGGGAAAGATTGATGTCTGCCAGGCTGCCCAGCAGATCAGTTGATAGTGGGTGCTTTATTAGAAACTAAGACTGGCAATCCTTCCTACTAAGCCGAAATTTCTCTCATTTATAAAACTGTACTTTATCCCAGACTTCAGAATTGTTAGAAATGGAATCATGGGATGTAAGCTCTTCTAGTTAGTTGTAATTTTTGTCAACTTGACACCACCTAGAATCACCAAGCGGCAGAAACACATACAGACAGCTTACCTGAACAAGGAGGAGCTAACGGCCACTAGTTTGATAGCTGGGAAGCCAGCATGGGACTGACTCAGGCCCCCCTGAATATGGGTCTTAGCCAGAAGGACTGAGCAGTCTAAGAGACCTCAGACAGTGGAGCCAGGATATGCGAACATATCCCCCATGGAGGGATAACTGCCTTAATCTAGAGACAGGAGAGAAGCCCTAGTCCCTACTTCACATGACCTGTCAGAACTACATGACCCCAACTGGATGGCATTCCCCTACATATGGAATTGGGGTGGGTGGATGGGAGGGGAGGGTGGTTAGAGGTCACCTAGAGATTCTTAACAAATAATATAAATCAGGCTATTCTGTGGGAAAGTCTGTGGGAGACCAGCTTTACTGTTAATTGATGCAGGATGACTTAGCCCATTGTTGTGGTACCTTCCTTAGGAAGGGCAGATCAAAGCAGGAATTATAAGCTGACTAAACCCTTCCCTAGGTTGCTTTGTGTTGTAGAATTTTGTCACAGCATCAGAAATAAAAGTAGAATGCATGTTATGACTTCATATTTTATTTAAATACTATAGTCATCATACTTTTCAATAGTTATCTTCTACAGTCTCATTTTTAACTGTAAATTAGTGTGTGCTAAAATGTTGTTTCTAACAAAATTACTGGGTTAGCTTGCTATAAGAATGTGTTGTAACAGTTCCATACTGATCAGTACCTAGCATTGTTTATATGTATCTGTTTAAAAAGTGTCTTTTTGAATACACACTGGATTCATTGATGTTGAAATCATACCCAACAAGCATAAATGTGTGCTTGTCTAATACACCCATTTTCTTTATAAAATGTATGGCAGCCTCTTGGGATGGGAACACTGGGCAGCAAGTACTGTTCCTGGGCAATATTAAACTATGAACGGACAACAAGAACCACAACAATATGAAAATGGCCCTAAGCAGACCATGTAAGAAGGACTCTGCTTATGGCCTGTTCTTGTTGATTTTAAATGTCAGCTTGCCACACCACAATGTAGAATCACCTGGGAAAAGCAGCTCAATTGAGACATCACCTATATCATGTTGGCCTGTGAGTGTATCTGTGAGGGACTATCTTGATTGTTCATTGATGTAGGGAGACCAATCTCATAATGGATGTCACAGTTCCCTGGTAGTAGATCTGAGCTATGTAACACAGGAGAAAACTAGATTAAACTAAGAAGCAGTTGTCAGTGTAAATGCACTTGTTTCTCTGCTCTTGACTGGATATTATGTGAGTAGCTGTATTATTTCCTACATTGTCCTCATTCCATTTCACAGCAACATAAATGAAACTAGAGCATATCCAAAGGGCTGAAATAAGAAGTCATCTGTAAATGAAAAGCTAACTGTGCTGTGAATTCTTTAATGATCATGTAAGCGCATGGATTTGGATTTCAGGGATTTTCCTCCAATATGTGTAAACTGAATAAATAAATGACCCAGAGACTGAAATTGGGGTTCAAGCTTCAAGCTGAATATCAGAAAACACAGCAGCTGGCCACTAGCTCTCAGCTCTAGCTCAGGCTGAAGGTGCTGATCCACACACAAACTCTTCACCAAGTCTCAAACTGCTACCTCTCCTCAGTATGGGTGGAGAACAAATGCCTCTCAGAGACCTTGCCTCTGTCTTACTTCCCTAATGTTGGGATTAAAGGTGGAAGATATAATTCTCTTTTAGACTGATTCACTCATGTATAGATCTGAGTGGCCTTAGACTCGGAGATCTGTCTTTTTCTTAATCCTAAATCCTAGGATTAAAGGTGTGTGCCACCACCTCATCAAGTGGCAGGAGGGTCACTCACGTGTTCTTCTGACTGATATGGCCTGCACCTGAGCAGCAGAAGTCCGCTGAAGTTGAGGACAAGGGCTCTGTGGGGGAGATTTGACCATGTGGATTGTGATTAGACCACGAGTATAGCTGACCTTGCTTCAGAAGGCAAAGTCCACATTCAGCTAACTGGAGTGGACCACTGAGTTATTGGCAGACTAAGAGAAGAAAGAAAGGTGCACAGGAAAGGAAGAGGCAGAAGCAAGTGGCTGTGTGTTGTCTCTGGTGCTCTTTTGACTTGTGTGCTAGAAACTTCACAACTTCACACACCAAAACAAACAAACAAACAAACAAAAGAACAAAGTTAATAACAAGGATCAGAAGAAAGTTTTTCTATCACTTGGTATGGGGGGAGGGAGGTAGGAGAAAGAAGAGGGAAGAAGGGCAGGGAGAAAGAAAACATGAGGGGTCAGGAAGATCGAAAACAGAGAAGGACAGCAAGGAAAGAGATTCAGGGAGCTGTTATGAGCTTAAAGAGAAACCTGGCACTAGGGAAATTTCCAGGAATCCACAAGGATGACCCCAAGAATCTAAGCAATACCCAACTGGACTGGCTACCTTAAGTGCCCTTGCCCTATAAAGAGACTTATGACTACCTTAAATGCCATCACAGAGCCTTCATCCTTTGTCTGATGGAATCAGAAGCAGAGATTCACAGCTAAGCACTGAACCAAACTCCTGGAATCCAGTTGTAAAGAGGGGAAAGTGATGCAAAAGGGTTCAAGACCACTCTAGGGAAACCCACAGAAACAGCTGACCTGAGCAAGTGGGAGCTCATGGACCCCAATCTGAGAGCTGGACACCAGCATGAGACTGAACCAGGCACCCTGAATGTGGGTGTCAGTTAGAGGGATTGGGCAGTCTATGGGTCCTCTGGCAGTAAAACCAGTTTTTATTCCTAGGGCATGAATGGGCTTAGAGGTCATTCCCTATAGAGGGATAGTCTTTCAGTCTTGATACATGGTAGAGGTACTTGGTCCTGCCCCAAATGATGTGATAGACTTTGATAATCCTCCATGGGAGGCCTCACCTTCCCTAAGGAGTGAATAGGGGGTTGAGATGTGGGTATGGTGGGGGGAATGGGAGGAAAGGAGGGAGAGGAAAGTGTGATTGGTATGTAAAATAATATTGTTTTTAATTTGAATAAAGGTTAATTAAAAATATGGAAATTAAAAAATGGTTTACCTATTAAAGAAAGAAGAAAACAGAAATGTCACCTTCAAAAAATTGTTTATCTAGTCTTGACTTAATCTTAGTATGTAGAACCTATCCAGAAAACTGCACATTTCTTTTAAATTTTCCAGTTTTGTGAAGTATAGATTTTTGAATTATGTTCTAATGATTCTCTGGATTTCCTCCGTGTCTGTTGTTATGTCCCCTTTTCTTTTCTGACTTTGTTAATTTGAATATTCTCTCTCTACCTCTTGTTAATTTGGGTAAGGGTTTGTCTATCTTGTTGATTTTCTCAAAGAACCAACTCTTTTATTATTATTATTATTATTTATTATGATTACTTCTATTGTTCTCTTTGTTTCTACTTTATTAATTTTAGACCTTAAATTGATTATTTCTTGTTATCTTGGGTAAGTTTGCTTCTTTTTGTTCTAGAGCTTTCAGGTATTTCATCAATTCACTGGTATGGGATTTTCCTTAACTTCTTTTTGAAGGTATTTAGTGCTATAAACTTTCCTCTTAGTACTGCTTTCAAAGTGTCCCATAAGATTGGGGGTACATTCATTTTCATTGAATTTTAGGAAATCTTTAATTTCTTTGTTTAATTTTACTCCACCCGGGGGTGATTCAATTGGGAATTATTTAGTTTCCATGTGTTTGTAGGCTTTCCAGAATTTGTGTTATTGTTGAATTCTAACTTAAGCTGTGGTGATGATACAGGGGATTATTCATACATATATATATGTGTGTGTGTGTGTGTGTGTGTGTGTGTGTAGATTTGCTTTGTAACTGAGTATGTAGTCAGTTTTAGAGATGGTTCCATAGGGTACTAAGAAGAAGTTTTACTTTTTTGTGTTTGGGTGGAATGTTCTATAGATGTCTGTTAAACCCATTTGAATCATAACATCTGTTAGATCACTTATTTCTCTGTTAATTTTCTGTCTGGCAGACATGTCCATAGGCGACAGTAGGGTGTTAATATTAGTGTGTAGGGTTTGATGTATGATTTAAGTTTTAGTAATGTTTCTTTTATGAATGTGAGTGCCCTTGTATTTGGGGTATATGTGTTCAGGATTGAGACTTCTTGATGGGTTTTTCCTATAATGAATATGAAATGTCCTTCATCATCTCTTTTGATTAACTTTAGTTTGAAGTCTGTTTTGGTAGATATTAGGATACCTAAACCAACTTGCTTCTTAGGTTCATTTGCTTGAAAAGTCTTTTCCTAACTCTTTACTTTGAGGAAATGTCCGT